TGGGATGATTGGACTCTAAGATCTCTTCCATCTCTTAACTCTCATGAATCTATAATCTTCATCTGAAAATAAAAAAAGCCTCAGTGAACTTGTTTCCAGTCATACAGGGAATTTAGGGCAGAAAGGAGTCTGAAACTCAGCTCTCAAGATGCCTAGTTCATTGTTTTTCCTCTGTGCCACACTGTCCCAATGCCTACTCCATTTCAGCACCAGCCTAAGAACAGATCCCTGATTCATGCTGGTTGAATGACAGGTACGGAAACCTGCTGTCACCACTCCAACGCTTGACTCTAGCTACAACTCCTTCCCACAGGAAGATTAGGGACCATTAACTTTCACCAGGTCCTTTCAACACTTTGCCGGGTCCAGCATCAGGATGCAAACTCGCCCACATTTCAAACACCTCCAGCATTTTTTATTCAGTCTGGTGTAATTATAGGATTTCATTGTATTTTCCCGGTTCAGTTCACATCTACACTGTATGTAATAATCTACTTTACCCAGTAAATAGCACATTTATATATTTTTTGAAGTTAAGAACAAAATATATACATAACTGTTTTTAAAAATAAATATAGCAGATGTAACGTGAGAGATGAGACATGTTGCTTGGTATTTGATTTATAAAATAATGAGAAATGAACAAGTTGGATGGAAAGTGGAAATTCTAGCCCCTAATTCAGAGATTTTTAAATATCCAGATGTTGGCTATCATGCAGACAAAACAGCCTGACGACTGGCACAGTGATTGTTTGCATATACCCCTTGGCGAGTTTTTGTTTTTTCCCATCCAGATGTTTTGACTGTGTAGACTTAGCCTGCCGGGTAATAAGGTTAAGTGACTTGCTCACGATCAGTGACAGAATCTTCCAAATACTCTGGCATTATAAACTTTTAAAGGCTTATCATCTCCGGGTCTCAATAACACAAGATTTTTGCTGTGCTGTTAGAACTCTTTAATCCCTCACACTGGAACAATCTGGCCGATACTTCCTTGTCCTCACTCCTCCAACCAAAGGGAATAATCCTATGCGGGGCTTCTCTCTGAAGGTTTCTGTTAGCCTGGGCTCTGACCCATAGAAAATTTGGCTTCTCGACAGCCAGGTTGTACTTCTCGTCCTTTGTATTTGAAGACGACGCTGTCCGCAATGATTGCTGTATCTATTTTACGTGGCCATATTGGCCCAGACGTGGTCGTTTCAGCATTTCCAGCCCCGCTAACGGTTGATTGCAGCACAGTCAATCAAACCTACCATTCATCTAGCCATTATGATTGCCAACAATGGATCTGGCCCCGGGCCACGGCTTGGCTGAGGAGAGTAACCCTGACCATGACGGAAACCACAGAAACCCTGGCCTTTGGTTGGCAGCTTCAACTGCTGAATGAAAACAAAGCCTTTGGTGCCATTCAGAACTCATGCCTTGAGAGTCAGGCTTCTTCACAAAGCTTGGCTATTGAAAGAGCCATCTACTTCTGATCACCTTCCCTCAGGCTCCTCTGACTGTCCCTAATTTCCCACCTTTCTTCATCTTGCCTGGGTGCTGGAAGGTGTATTTCCATGTAACTTTACGTTCATGTTCTTTCTTCGTGAGACCAGCGGCTGAGTTGGTGTGTTGTTTTTTTTTTTCTTTTTTTTTGGGGGGGGGTTGTTTTGTTTAGTTTTTTCTTCCTTTGATTTCCTAGTGCTAATAACATCTACCTCCAGGGTTGTGTTGAGAGCCAAACAATAAAATATTTATAAAGTGCTTAGCACAGTCCCCAGTACGAAGTAGTATCTTAATAAACGTTTCTTTCCTTATTCAGTGCAATAGATATTTCTTAAGCATCTATTATGTGAAAAGGCAGAGGCAGGTAGACATTGTAGATGGAGGGCTAGGTTTGAAGACAAGCAGAAAGGTCTGGGTGATAATCCTTTGTGACCTAGAGCAAGTCAATCTCTGAGCCCCAGGTAGCCCCTTCAGACCAAGTTCTAGACAGATTACAATTTGCCTTCATAGATGGAGTTCCAAGGAGTTTCCACACGTATTCTTTATAGCCTTTTAGGCTAAAATACAAACTCCGTTGTTTGCCTTTTAAAGCCCTTCACAAACTTGCCCTAATCTACCTTTCCAGCCTCACACATCCCTCCCCTTCTTGTATTTTAGGCAGATTGCCATACCTTTGCCTTGGCTGTGCCCCCATTCTTGGAATGCTCACTCTCCTCACTTCCACCTTGTAGAATCCTTTACTTACCTCAAGACTCAGTTCAAGCTCTGCCATCTACCTATGTGAAACCTCTTCTGACCTGCCCAACTTCTGCCTTCCTGCCTCCCTAAACAACTTTGTATTTATTTTGTATTGATTATGAATATGCTTATCTGTCTATATATTGTCTCCTAAGATGGGATGTAGGACTGCTTCATTTTTGTCTTTGAATCATCATTGCCTAGCACATAGTTGCTTGTTGATTGATTCATTGATCCATGAATCACAATCTTTGATGACAGACAAGGAACACGCTTAATGGATAATACTGGGAATACAAAGACAAGGGATCCAATCTATGTCCTAAAAAAAATTTATGTTTTTGCTAGGAGCAAAATCATCAGGTGCATGAGAAGTGCAGAGGGCTGATACTCAGGGGACCTGGGTTCTAGACCCAGAACTTCCATTAATGGATTGGTCAATTAGCATTCATTAACCATGGGCTGTGTGCCAAGCACTGTGCTAAGCAGTGAGGATACAAAGAAGGCCCCCATTCCCAAAAAGCAAAAGGCACTCTTTGCTCTCAAGAAGTCTAATGGAGGAGAAGAGATGTGAATAAGTGTGTACAAACCTGATATGGACAGGAGGGATTGCAGGTAATCAGCCTAGGGAAGGTGTAAAATGAAGAAGGACTGGGAAGGGCTTCGTGCAGAAGATGAGACTTTCATTGAGCTGTGAAGGAAGCCAAGGAAGAGAGGAGTTGGAGACGAGGAGAGCATGGGGGACAGCCAAGGTGGGGAGATAGAGGGGCAATAGAGAAACAGCCAGGAGACCAGTGTTTATGGATCATATGGTATGTGGCAGAGACTCGAGTGTGTTCTTTGGTTGTGTCCAACCCTTCATGACCCCATTTGGGGTTTTCTTGGCAAAGATACAGAAGTAGTTTGCCATTTCCTCCTCCATCTCATTTTACAAATGAGGAAACTAAGGCAAATAGGGTTAAGTGACATGCCCAGGGTCATGCAGCTAGTAAGTGTCTGAGGCTGGATTTGAACTAAGGTCACACTGACTCAAGACCCAGAGCTCTATCTACTTCACCACCTAGCTGCCTTGACTAAGGTGCAAGAAGATTGGAAAGGTAGGAAGGGGCTAGGTTACAAAGGGCTTTGAATGTTAAACAGAGCCTTTATATTTGATCCTGGAGTAATAGGGAGCCACTGGAATTTATTGAATAGAGGAGTGATATAGTCAGACCAACTTACTCTATGAACTTAGTTTCTCTTAATCTCTCTGGGCCTCAGTTTCCTCACCCCAAAAATGGGTTGTGGGCAGGGACATGCTGGTAAATGCTTAATAACAGGCTTCCTAGGGGGGAAAACATATATGCATGACAGACTTTAAATTTAATCTGCAAAGAAAAGGGAGATGGTAGCAGAGAAACCTGGGAAGACTTATGTGAATTGGTACAGAGTAAAGAAAGCATAACCAGGAGATCACTGTATACATAACAGCAACAATTGTGAAAGACTTAGTTTCTGTGATGAATACAATGATCCAAGATAATTCTAAAGGATTCATGATGAAAAATCCTCTCCAACTCCAGAGAGAGAATTGATGAATTCTGAGTGCAGATTGTAGTATAATTTTTTCACTTTATTTTTCTTACTTTTTTATGATATGGCTAATGTAGAAATATGTTTTGCATGATTTCACATGTATAATTGAAAACATATTACTTACCTTTTCAGTGGGTGGGGGAGCGGCTAGAGAGAGGGAGAGAATTCGGAACTCAAAATTTAAAAAAAGAATGTTAAAAGTAAGTAAATGATACATTTTTAAAAGAAAAAGTAATACAAGAAAAAACAATTCCTATTACTGATTTCTTTTACAAAAAAAGTAAGTTTAATCTGCATTATTAACATTTTATCCATCATTTTAAATCTGGACAATCAACAAAACAATAAATTAAGCCCTGATTTTGAGTGTTTGTCAGTTTTTGAGGTGTAAATACTCTCACCGAACATCTAACAATCCCCTCTCACTGAATCAGAATGTGCTGGCTCCAGCACATCTCTGGTTGTTGAATATGACCACTAAGTTCCTACAAGCTCTAACATATTGCCTCTTCAGAATCTTCCTAGGCGTGTCCTGCCCCTACCCCAACTCCCATCCTATTTGTGGTCATCCTGTCTTCCTGTAATGCCTGTGGAGACATTTAATTTAATAGGGTACTGAGTAAGAGCACCTGGGAAGAATGCTGACCTGGGAGTAGGAGAATGCTAAAGGGCAGCTAGTGGCCTCATAGTGCATAGAGTGTCAGAAAGACTCAACTTCCTGAGTTCAAATCCGGGCCCAAATATTTACTAGCTGCATGACCTTGGGCAAGTCACTTAACCCTGTTTGCCTCAGTTTCCTCATCTGTAAAAGAACTGGAGAAGGAAGGAAATGGCAAACTACTCCAGTATCTTTGCCAAGAAATCCCCAAATGGAGTCATGGAAGTCAGACACTACTGAAAAATTACTCAATGGGAGGAGATAAGAGAAGTAAGGTTGACCAGGTAGCTTGGAGAAGCCTATTGTGACAGCAGGAGTCATCCCTAGTGGCTTTTTTTTTTTAAAACAATTGTACCTAGAACCAGGGACAGTGCCTGGGATATACATACTTGTCCAATACTTGAAAAAACCTAGGATCTCCTCAGTGTGGACACACCCTCCAACTACACAGCTGTGTGGTGTCAACTGGACCAAATTGGCCTCTAACTTATGGATGACTGGAGCTGAACAGAGCAGGCTAGAGACAAGAGATTCGGGAATCAAACACAAGTTTAATTTCAAAGTGAAGGAAATGGATTGAAAGCAATGAGGGATCTAAACACATGTACTGGGACTCCGCCCTCGTGGGGGGACCTGCCTTAGCGGGTCAAACCTTGATTTATATATTTATGGCTAGACAAAGAGTCAAAAAATGTAGTGTAGCAACAGTGACAAGGCACAACAGTAACACTGAGGCAAGGTTGTCTAGTGGTAAAACTTCCATTCATAGCAGGGCTTCATGTCTGGGTCTGTTGGTGCTTGCCTGAGCTCAGAGATCATCAGTTCATCCAGTGTTCATCCAGAGGGTGAGCACAAAGAATTGTTGTCATGCCAAGCTCAGGGCACAGGTGCTCAGCGGGACTGTTAGGGTCTCTCCTAATATCTTGACATTTCCCCATTTTGGTCAATGGGAGGGGGTCTGAAAGAACTCCTACCCTTCTGGCCAATAAAGGAGAGGCAGGTATAAGTCAAGGCCAAGAGAAGCCAGCTGGGCCAAGATGAGATGTTGAGTTGAATAGGTCTTGTCTAGCCATTGTTTGCTTGCAAGTAGAAAAGAGAGGTGGAGGCCAAGAATGTAGAGGGAGAAAATGCCAACACACTCTTGCCTTGGTGGTTGGGCACATAACAAGAGGGAGGAGGAACAACAAAACTAGGACAGTGTACTCAGCCCTCATCTGAATCTTGGGACAGCTGCTTCTGGGTCCACACTAGACAAACTTTGAGGTCCTCAGAGGGTTCTGGTGTCCACTCATGAGCAGCAGCTTTCTTCAGACGATCCAAGAGTCCATACCCACAAGTTTGGCAGCTGTGGGAATAGTCAGAAGGACCTGGTAGGGGCCCTTAGAAACAATGATTGATTGACAATTGTGAAAAAACTCCTTGCATCAATCTTTGGATCTGAGTTTCTGGTCAGCATCTCTAAGCAGCACATAGAGATGGTCCAGTTTCCCAACCGTGGAGGGCTATGTTCAAACAATACAATAAAGTTTTTCATAAATTCATAATCGTAATTACCTGGTCAGGTCACATTAATGACATGTTACAGATCAAACTACTTAGAGGGCTCATGATGGATTAGTTTTGAGAAGGGAGATTTACATATCACCATGGTAACCAAGAAAACTTAAACATAAACATCTTGAAACAAGACATCAAAGCAATACAATAGTTATCACCAATATTAATTAATATCAGGTCTCCTTGTATCCTAGTAACCTGTCCATTCTCAATATCCATTCATTCAGCACATTCTGAGTCCCAGATGTCTCAAGCAGTTATTGGGTACCTAGATATCTCTTCTTGGAAAATAAGAGGACAACTCTCTGCTTTTCTGGTTCCAAACTGGAGGTTCCTAGATAATTTTGACTTAATATAATTTAGTTCAATCACTTAAATTTGGCCCTCCAATTTTGAAACTTCAGAGAATTTCAGTTTATAGAACTTATTACTAAAACATACTCAAAGCCTGAATTTCCATGACATATAAATTTAGAAGCCAATCATATACATCTGTATATAGTTCTTAGAGAAAATAGTCTAATCCTCTTGCTTTCTCAAAATTCATTATTCCATTTATTTAGAAAATTTTTATATTACATCTTTGTCTTAATACTTTGTCTAATCATTTCCCCCTTAGGAGGATATCATCTCTATATTATAATTTGACCACAAATACAGGTTAGAATTGTAAGGTGTTCATACTTGAATCCTATTATAGTAATTCAGAGGTGTTCCGGTATCAATCTATTGTTTAATAGATTTAGTTCTGTACTTACAAAACTTCTTGATTATAGAAATTTTCTATAAAAGGAAAAAGGACATAGTTTTCACAATGTCATATATCATACTAGGGGGTGGGGGGAGACTCCTTTAGCTCTGTTTAATTCTAGGCATGAGTCATATCTGACAGCCAATCATGTAGTCACACAGTGTTAAAAGCAAGGCTCAGGATTAACCAGGTGGGAAAATTTCCTTTTTAGAAAGGAAATAGTACAATGGGGAAACAAAGTCAAGAGGATCCTACCATAGGCCATCCTAAAGTCATCCCCAAAACTTTTCCCAGGCATAGACATCCACCTTTAGCAGTTCTCAGACTGCAGCACATGCCATTTTATACTATTGGCTTCATGACAATTCAGACAACTATCCCTGTAATCAAAGCTCAAAACAATAATAAATTCCAGTCCCAGGAATTTTTACCTTAAATAGCAAAATGTTACGAACTGCAGCTTAAGGTTTGAATGTCTTTGCTGATGTTTCCCTAACAGTTAACATTTCATTTATCCTTATAAATTAAAAGTACCCATATTCTGGGGCTTCAGACATACAGTAAATAGCTGATAGTTGACTCATCATTGATAAGTTGAAGCTGTATCTTTAAACCACCATATACACTTTCATAATAGCCAAAAATTTCAAATAAAAATTTGCTATTATAGTAAATTTAATATTATTATTATTATTATCTGTTTTAAAACAAAATATGCTTCATTAAATATTTCACAATTTTCAAACATCTATTTTTATCACGTCCTTTTAAAAGCCTAATTAATATGTAACAGCATCCAGATTAAAAAACTGTTTTGTCTAACAGCACTTCTGTTACAATAGTCTCTCAAATTTCACAATATAAGAGAATTTAAAAATACAATAATAACATAAACAGTATCATATATTTAAAACATGAAACAAAACTTCAGATGATATCAACTGCATTTCTAAATTATTCCATATAAAATCATTAATTTTATTATCTTTGACATTTTAAGCCCATTGTAAAGTTACCTGGTGTGGAACAATAAAATTCAATTAAAGAAATAGTAATAATGTAGTGCTTAGCATATGCCAGTCACTGTGTTAAGCACTTTACAATTATTATATCATTTTGATCCTCACAATAGCCATGAGAAGTGGGTACCATTTTTATTTTTCTCTTTCCAGATCAGGAAAGTGGCGCAAACAAGATAACTTGCCTACAATTACACAGCTAATAAATTTCTGCAACTGGAATATAATTCAAGTTTCCCTGCATTTTCCCAGAATTTTTATTTCAACACTTCTATTTGGGAATCTAATCTGAGAGGAGAGGGGTTAAAAGAGTAAGAGGGAGAGAATCTCTGAACTGGGGTGGTCACAGGACATCTTTTACTTAAACAATCATTTCTCTTTTCATAGTCAAAGAAGGGTTAACAAGAGATGACTATAAGATACAAACCATTTACCTATTTTTTTTTCTTTCTTCAGTCTGGGAGTACTTCCAAACTAGTCACCTTCCTTCATTGCCCTAGAACAATGAAGCTTGTCAGTCTTCAAGAGAAAATTCTGTCTATTTTTAACTTTTATAAAATTTCATCCATATTTTTCCTTAAAATGAATTCTACAGAGTGGTACCCCAAAACTTACTAAGATATTTCAGAAAGGAGTGAGTTCTTAGAATTACTCAAAATCCCAGGAGTTCTTCCTTGAAATCTTAAAAATGATAAATCTTTAAACCTCCAAAATATGCTAAGATGTTTTAGCAGTTCTACATACTTTGATTATCTACTTTATTTTTATAATTCCAGCATAACCAAAGCTGAAATGACAGGGGGAAAAATGTCTTGCAGGGTTTTTTTTTTTTCTTATAACCTAATCTCCTGCAGAAAGCCTAAAGTGGGAGTTAGTCTTGCTTACTGGGATAATTACTTCAAGTACGAAAGTTCATTAATCTTTCCCAGTGTTCTAACCTCTCTGGCTATAGCTATACCTTAGAAGTTTTTTTGTGGTTGGCTGCATTTTAAATCTTTTGAGGCAACAGAACTTACAATATTTGACATTTGACATTTTACAAAGACACAAACACAGACAAAAGGACAAGATAAATACAGACAGACACAAACGGTTCTAACAAAGCATGCAGTCACAGTATATAGCCAGCATGTATTTACCGATTTAACAGAGACACAGAGTTAACTAAACATTCTTTTAGCCTGTGCGGGGTGGAGAGGGGAGCAGAGATGGGAAGGGCAGCGGGTGGGGAAGAGAGCCAGAACAGAGCAGGTAAGAGACTGGAGCTAAACAGTGCAGGCGGGAACAGCTGGTTAGGAGAAAAAAGTGTGCAGAAAGGTTATCCTTTCCAGAGATACCCGAAATAAATTGGGTCACTGGAGGGCTCCAGAGTTTTCCTCACAAAGAATGGGGAGCTCAACCAATGTGGGAACTCAAAGATTGGAGCAGAGACAAGAGTAGAGGATTCCCCAGGTGAGAGGGGTGTCAGACTCTGAGAAATAAATCTCCAGCGGCACCTGGTCCATTCCTGTTGCTACTGGAGAATCCAATGACCCAGTTCTGTGTCCAGTCTCACTTCTGACACCAATTAATGTCAACCTGTAGGTGACCAGAGACAAACAGAGCAGGCTAGAGACAGGAGAGTCAGGCATCAAAAAGAAGTTTAATTTCAAAGTGAAGGAAATGGTTTATAAGCAAGGAGGGAAATTAGACACATGTACTGGGGGCCCTCCTAGTGGGGGGGGGGACCTACCTTAATATGGCCAAACTTTAGTTTTTATATTTGTGGCTAGACAAAGAGTCAAACAGTGTAGCGTCGCAACAGTGTCAAGGCAACAGCAACACTGAGGCAAAGTTGTCTAGTGACGAAAAAGTCTGTTCATAGCAGGGCTTCACGTCTGGGCCTGTTGGTGCTTGCCCAAGCTCAGGGACCATAAGTTCTGTGATTTAGTTGCAGTGATGTTCATCCAGAAAGCGAGCACAAAGGATCGTTGTTATGATAAGCTCAGGACACAGCTTGTTTGCTGGTCCTTAGCGCTAGAAAACAGGGTGTCTTCTAATATCTTGACAGTGGTCTTCATGAGTTGCTGTGCTCCTGTCAAAATCATCACCTGCTTGATGTATCTCCCAGAATTTGGGGGAGGGAGGGCTGGTTCTCAAAGCTTTCTGGGCTTGGTTGGAGCTGCCATTTCTTACATTCTATTGGCAGCCTCTAAAAGTCCAGGATCACCCCCAGGCCAGGATCACTGCAGCAGTAGAGGCTTGATCATTGTTGAGTCAAACATTTTAAAGCAGGTGAAATCAGTAGAATATAAACTCCTCGAGGACAGGGACTTTTTTTTTGCCTTAAGTATGGCATTCAATAAATTCTTGTTTAATATAATAAAATGATCTTTGATAACAGCTTTAAAGAACTCATTAAAAGCATTTAAAAGAGTGAAGGTACCGACCTAGAATGCCTTACTATTTGTAGGGCAGGAAGGGATAGTTTGTGGGCTAAATGAGCCTCAAGGCATTTTTAGACCCACATTTGTATCCTTCCCAATGAGCTTTTCAATTTAGGAACAAAACTTACCCAGGAAATCACCCAAATCAGATTTACCCCCAGGATCATAGAATTAATTTCAAGCTTGGAAGGACTTTAGGGTCATTTAGTCTAAGAGAGGTGAAGTGTTTTACCCAAAGTCACCTGGGTAATAAGGAGCAGCTCCAGTATCTTAATTTAGATTCTTTTGTTCTAAATCTAATGTTCTTTTCCGTGCTTTATACTCCCTCCAAGTCACTGAGCCTTCCTGGGCCTCAGTTTCCTCATCTGTAAAATTAAGGAGTTCAACTATATGGCCTCCAAGGTCTGTCTTATCTCTAGATATATGATCCCCTGAATGAGTAGACATATTTTTCAAAGTTAAATCATGAGAGCTCAGATTCTAATGTTATGTTGGGTTTTTGTTTTACTTTGTAGAGTTGGGCTACTCTTTGGAGCAATGCAGGGAAATTGTCTTGTGAATGATTGGTAGGACAGCAGGAGGAGACCCGAACAAGGTTAGAAGGATCACAACAGAAAGTACAAGAGAGAAAGCCTGGGGAGCATGGGTGAGTTCTGAGGTGACCAGGAGAGTGTGGCCAGAAGAGGAGCCATTGTCAGGAGGATTAGTAACCAGCAATCTTATCAAATCAGAATATAGCCATTGAATGCCTTGTTGATTAAAGGTATTTTCCTGGGCTATTATGAAGGATGCAAAAATATGTAAGATTTTATCCTAGAATTCAAGGAGCTTATAGTCTCACTGGGTAAAGAAAATGTATTGAGAGTTTTAATCCCCGTATCTCAAAGAAGGCATTAAAGTCAGAGAATATTTTCCAGCTGTCTAGTAAAAGGGCTGGTGGGGTACCTCCCACAGGTAAAGAACCAACATTGTGGTTGCAGGAAGTTTGTCTTAACTACAGTAATTCCCCACCCCCAACTTGGCTCAGGTTCCTATTGGTTCAACTTGGTGTTTTTCAAATGTAAAAGAATCATTTTCATAGACTATTTCATGAATTTACCCCGAATTTGGCTCATTGTGCTCCCACCTGGAATTTACTCCAGCAACTCTCCTTCCCCCACCCCAACATGGCTTAGAAATAGCTTATGCTTCATTTCCCATTAGATTCTTATTTCCTGTCCCACTTTTAGTGACATAAATCAAGGCTTAAAATACATTTACTATAAGCAAGAGAAACATAATGAACACAGAATCGAGACTTCCCAGGAGTCTGCTCACTGCTCAGGTAAAAGGGTCTGGCGACTCCAGATCCAACAGCTGCTGTTTCCTCCTTAATGGCAGAGTTCACGTGCCACACACACTTTCCTCAAGGGAACTACTGGCAGAGGAGAGCTCTTGTCTGCCCCAACCAGCCTTTTCCCTAATCTCACAATCATAGATGGCAGAACTAGGTGGTCTCGTGCTATCTTTCCTTGGCTTGTGGGCAATTTCTCAGAGGTTTCCGAGTTAGGAACTCCCTCAGTCTTCTCCCTGTTATCTTCATTCAGCAAACCAATGGAGCCATTGCTGCTTCTTCTATGGCTTGACTCTATCGGGCCTTTCTCCAGTGTCTTCGGTTGTGATGACCCCTGGCTGTGCTCTGTGATGCTGAAGACAGGGATAGGAGAAAGTGACCCCTGCTGTGAAGGTCCAGCTCTGTTTCAGGGTGTGCCATGTGATGGTATTTCATAGGTGGGCTCCCCTATCAGATAGTCCAGTCTGTCATTTTAAAGAGCTTGGGTTCAGTAAGATAATTCACTTTTCAGTTCTGGGTACCTGTCAACCCTCTGTTCCTGCCCTCCCGGAGTGTGAAGGTCCCCATGGAAACCAGAGAAATGGGAGGTGTACATCCATGGTGTAAACACAGGGCTACAAAAACACAACCACTTGAAAAGTCAAATAACAAGGAAAGATTTAAATAAGCATTTAGGGCAACACTAGAAAAAGTGTCACAAGGCAAAAGATAATTAGTTGTCAAATATGTGGTACAAGCAATAATTGTTACAGAAGTTCTGAGGAGAAAAGATCCCTTCAGACTAGGCTCAATGAGGAAAGATGCTTAGACCCTCCCTCCCAGCCTAGACTGCTTAATGTACTGCACGCCATTTTGTTGCCTCAGCAGCCGGAGCGATCTTTGGATTGCTAAAGGCAGAATAAAATTGGCTAATGTGGAGTTGATAGCTAAGATAAGTAGGAAGATAGTAAGAGAGCACCTAAGTGTCCTCAACGAGATTGGATCAGTTGATCCAGATGAACTACATCTTAAGGTACTGAAATAAATAATGGACAAAGAGGATTGTTGGGCTACTGTCAGTGACCCTTGAAAGACTGTGGGCCACAAAAGTACAATAGGATCCCAGTGTGGTTCTGTGTGACGGTTAGAGCTCTGGACTCAGAATCATGAAAACCTGGGTTCAAATCCTACCCTAGCTGTGCCATTCTGGGAAAATCACTTTACCTTTCTGGGCCTCAATTTCCTCATCTGTCAATGAGAAAGGCTACACTCAATGACTTCGAAGGTCCCTTCCAGCTTTAAATCTATGATTCTATGATTGGAGAAGGACAAACACTGTCCTGATTTTCAGAATAGGAAAGAAAATGTAGCTTGTAAACTATGGAACAGTGAGCTTAACTTTGACTCCTGGTGAAATTCCAGAACATATGTAATATAATAAAAAGATTGCTGTTGTTGGATTGTGTCTGACTCTTTGTGACTCCATTTGGGATTCCTTCTACACCCCATTTTACAGATGAGGAACTAATGCAAACAGGGTTAAGTGACTTGCCCAGGGTCACACAGCTAGTTAGTGTCTGAAGTTGGATTTGAACTCAGGAAGATGAGTCTTCCTGATTTGAAGCCCAGTGCACTATCCACTGTGCCACCTAGCTGCCCTAAAGAAATGGTTAGTGAACAGCTAAAAGGACTGAGTGGAGAGTTAGCATGGCTTTGTTAAGAACAGTTCACACCTCACTTCCTTTTTTAATGGGATTACTAGACACACAGATCAGGGAACGTTGTGTATCTAAACTCATGCCTAATTATGAATTTACCTGGATGTTAACAAAGCATTTAACGGAACTTCTCATAATATTCTTATAAACGAGATGAAGAGATATGTGATAGAGATGATATCATAATTATACTGATTCAAAACTAGTTCAATGTCATCTCAATAAGAGGTCTCTAGTGAAATGTCCCAGGGATCTGTGCTTACCCCAAACCAAATGTTTTTATCAATGATAGATAAAAGCAGATGTGATGTGCTGATCAAATCTGCAGACGACACAAATTTGGGAGAGATGTGTTAGATGGCAGAATTAGGCTGCAAATATACTTCAATCAACTGGAATATTGGGCCAAATATAGTCAGATGAAATGTAGGGATAAATGTAAAGGGATAGGGATGAATGTAACATCTTACATTCCAAAAATAAACTTCACATGTGTAAGATGGGGGGAGGGGAGGGGCAGAAAATGTTTGACTAGATACCAGTTTGCCTGAAAAAGGTCTGGAAGTTTTATTATAGGACTACCAACTTAATGGGAGGCAGCAGCTTGGTATAGATAACAAGTAAAAAAAAAAAGCTAAAAAAAAAAAAGCTCTGTCCTAGTCAGAGCACATCTGAAGCACTTCTTTCAGTTTTGGGTACCACATTTTAGGAAGTAATTGAATAGCTGCAGAGCACTGAGAGGGAGGTTGGTGAAAATGGTGAAAGATGAAAGACCTTCAGAAAAGGAAATAGGAGGACTGATTGAAGAAACTAGGAATATTTATCCTGGAGAAAAGATGGGAGGAACATGTTCAATCGGATCAGTGAGCATTTGTTAAGCATCTACTATGTGCAAAGCACTGTGCTCATTGCCAGGAAAAATTTCCTATTAGATCTTTTCAGAAGTGGAATGAGGTGGCTTCAAAAGGTCATGGATTCACCTCTGAGGATCTTGGAACTCAGTCTGAATGACTACCTGTCAGGGATGTGGCAAAAGGGGTACTTGCTGGACTAGCTGACCTTTTGAGATTCTAAGATTCTACATTGAAGTACTGGGATGTCCTGGTTATTTATATATATACACATGAGTGTGTATGTATGTATGTATATGTATATATTACAATTCTTTTTTAAAAGTTAATTTATACATTTTTCATTTTCAACATTCATTTTTATAAGATTTTGAGTTCTAAATTTTCCCCCTTCCTCTCCTCCCCCCTCCCCAAGACAGCCTGCAATCTGATATAGGCTATACATGTAAAATTATATTACACATATTTCCACATTAGTCAGGTTGTGAAAGAAGAATCAGAA